AGTCTATTTACTACCAATGCAAGCCACACAAATACCATGTGCACTGTTAGTTATAATAAACAGAAGACAGCTAATCCATAACTTCAATCCGTTTATTGAGACTGTATATGTGTTCATAGTATATGCAAATATTCAAAAGAATCTCGAGAAATGGCTCAACATATGGAACTTCCACCCTTCAACTGCTCAGGCAGTCCGAGAAGAACCTGGGGGATCTTGCGTTTTCTCAATAACCTTCAGAGCAATGGTCTTCACAGCGATCAGAGCTTCATTGCAGGCCCTGGCAATGTGAGAGGGTGGCAGGAGGAAGCCGTAATTCCCGCGGTCCTGCAGCTCAAACGTGAAGGAGTATTTGATGCCCAGGTTGTACACCCAGTCATCGGAACCCCCAGGAGCCAGGTCTGGAGATCAGACAATTCCGCTCGAGTACATGAGAGTCACTGCATCACACAAGCTTAGAAAGTAAACTCTATACTTACATATTGTCTTTGCTCCAGCCCCATATTTATAGTTGTTCCTGTAATATCTTTTGATATTCTGGACTGCTTCTTGGGCCATCTCAAGCTGTAAAACACACACACACACACACACACACACACACACACACAGTGCATCACAGATACCTTGCACTATAAAGTTTGACTTAGATGGGAAATAATTTACATAAAATAGAATCCCACATGTGAGTCTGTATTTGAACTCCATTCAGAATGAACCAGGACACATATAAGCTGTGACTGTAAAACCCTTTTTACTGATGGATCAGTTTGTTTTATTGATCGGCATGAACCACTCACCAGGTCCCTGTGGTTCTCTGCTTCCTCCAAGGTGTATGAGTACGGGAAGAGCAGCATCTGAGAGTAGGAGTGGATGGTGAGGTAGAGCTGGACCGAATCCTTGTGGCTGCGCAGGAAGTTGGCCACGGCCTCCGACTCAGGCTCAGACTCGGGGAAGGTGCCGCAGTAGATCTCGCTGCAGGGCTCAGGAGAGGCCCCCTCAGCTGGGAAGAACAGCAACACTTTACCTTGTATTAAACACACTAGTCCTGAGTATCAGTGGTGCCCAAAGCAGGAGTGTGGACCCCCTGGAATTAGCCTTTTAATTCCAAGATAACCATACAAATAAATGGTGGCACATAATGAAATAAAACGAGATAATAAAGACAAGAGAATACAAAGATATGGTTTTAAGGCTTCTGATGATGAGATATTAGTGAATTTCTTTCAGAAATGTACAGGAATCTTGGGAAATTACTAACTGCACCAATTGGCGTCAAAGTTCCTGTTGAGGTCGACTCCAATGCAGTTGTTGCTTTTGCTGACGGAGCGGTTCTTCCTCCACATCCTGTTCTGAAAATAAATAAATAAACAAAATAGGGATAAACCACGATTCCCGTTACTGTAGCTTCACAAAACTTCTGTTGCATGCGCTCTCACTGTCGTCCATGTGTACTCGTATCCATCAGGGTTCATGACGGGCAGCACGTAGACGTCCATGTTGTCCAGTATGTTGGTAATGTCCTGGTTTCTACCATAAAATGATATAGACTGTGGGGGGGGGGGGGGACAATGATTTTAGGTGAGGCAGATCTGATTTGACTCTTTGTCATATTTCCAAACTGCCACAGATTAAATGTCAAACTTACATAGTACACAAACGACAAGCAGAAAGCAGGAGCAATCCACTCTCTCGCGTGGATTCCACAATCGATCCATATTGCTTTTTTATTTGGTCTGTTGTTTAGAGACAACTGCAGAGAAGAGAAAAGCCAACATTTGATTTTTCATTTATTTCTCTCACTATGCCTGGTTTCTGAACAATTTTCATCTGAAAATACTAAGAATTTCAGATGAAGTTTCCTTATAGTCATTAGAGTTTATTCCTTGTTGGCTTATTTTACCTTTAAAGCATACAGTGGTCGCTTTTCACTTGAGGAGCCAATGAGAATAACTTTGACCGTGCTGGGGTTGTCCTGTGTCATCCTGTTTATCCAATAATAGATCTATAATGGAGACAGTGTGTTTGAAAACTGAAATATGTCCATATACTGCAATAGTCCTGCAGTTAACCCTGTGTTTGTTCAGTTTAAATTATCAATTTGTCAATAAAGAGAAAGAGCGTACGTCATCCAGATTGTGATATTGCTCATAGAACGTTGAGCTGCTTCGTGGGTCTGTGGAGACATTCCTCGTCTGCATTTCAATCAACTCGTTGGTGTTGGCCAGTAAAACCCTTATAAAAAAAACAACCTGTTAACAGACTGCACAGCTGAGGTGGTAGATTGTGTGTAATCCTTGGTGAGTCGGAGTTTTCAGACAAGCGACATACGTGTGTGTTATGGCGTGTTTTTGTAGCAGACCCGTGACGTCCCCTGAGCTGTTTGCAGGAACAAACAGGTGGACTGTCGTCTCTTCCTTGATGTACTGAGGTGAAGCAGGCTGCCATAAAGATGTCTGTAAAGACAGAATACAGCATAAAGATTTCCAGGAGGGAGAGGATTGCAATCACTAGTTAAAAAGTGGAATTTTTGACCTCATATTGGATGGACACGTTCTTCACAATGTCCACTTGCTCCTGTGTAGTTGGGGTGATTGAGAGAACTTGATCTCTGAGTAAAATAGAAAACGCATGAATGATGGAGACCCTCGTGGACCAATCATAAACAAAAAATGTCATTGTAATATCAAGTGTCACAACGCAAACGTGAGGTGTGCGTTGACCTGTCGAGTTTACATATATGTACCACAACATACGTGATATAACGGTGTGTTTGCACAACCCATTTTCTTTGTGGTAAACAGCTCTTACGTAATAAACAGTCATGTTCCATAACAAAAACAATCACCACACCAACTCACCCTGTTTCTGTGCAGTATCCTTTATCCACAATCATTACTATAATCAAACCCACAAGAGCCTTCATGATGTCAGAATCCAGACGAGTAATGACAGCTTTGTTCAAAGCATGGGGGTAGGGAGACATTATTGATCGCCAGTGTTTATTTAGAAGTTAAACTTTACTTTTTTGAAGGAGTGAGGGCATAGATCAGCCAGCATGGCACGCTGGAGCAGGTCAGTGTATTTCTGGTGCTAAAACTCCTACAAATCCGGTTAAACTAGATGTAAAACTCATAAAATATCGAAATAAATGAAGACCTATAAACGTTTAGATTGTGTTTCGCTTTAAAAGCTTGAAACTGGGGTGTAGTTAGACTTCCTCGCCTTTAGATGGCGCTGAATAAATGTGAATGACAGTGTGGAAACGCCGTAGAGAGGAAGTGACGGGTTCAAAGTTCGTGTGTTGTTGAGTTTGTGTTGTCAAGATGTCGGGCCACGATCAGCTGGTCCACTGTCTGTGTGAGTTAACCAGGTAAGATACTTTCCCTGTTTTAATAAAAGTGTTTCAACGAATAAACCAAATCTTAATTTTAAAAGTTAGCAGTTAGCTTGTTGTGTTTCATTGTGCGCTGGCTTCATTTCCGGATGTAGCATGACAGCACTACTTCAGGTTATTTAGATAACTCGGTTATAGTCTTCAGTTCGAAATAACGTGTTTTCTTATTTATTATTATATTAAATATATGAAATCCAAACTTGTAGCATTTAGCTAAACCTGAGCCTCGCTGTCGGTGTTCATGTAACGTGCCTTGTTTTTTTTTACTCAATCTTCTGTGTCCATAAAAATATACCTATTTATATTACATATTGTTTATCCTCCTAAGTACATGTAAGCATCACAGTTATTTACCATCAGAGTATTTTTAAGTAGAATCTTTAATTCTGATTCTGGAACAGCCTCCAGCAAGAGAAGCCATTTTATAATAGTAATATTATTTAATGTTTTTATATGGCCCTTCTTCAAAATAAAGATATAAATGTTTTACTGGACAATATGATAAAAGCAATATATAATACGTTGGATTAAAAATAAATCCTGTTTATAAGAGCAAAGTAAATTACTTATTTCCCTAGTTTGTGGAATGGAGAGCAAATCCCCCCCCCCCATACTGGGCTTGGGTTTGATTCCACAGCAGGCCTAAATGTCGTCGACATTGTATCCCTGTGTTCCAGGTTGCTGTGGAAGTTGCTGCTGCCTATGGTGTTCCTGTGTGTGCTGCTGATCGCAGTCCTGGTGCTGCTGGTGCTGGCCGTGCGTCTGTGGCTGCAGAGCAACAGGAATGCTAGGCGGGCGAGAGACAACCGTCCGACCGTGGCCTTCTTCCACCCGTACTGCAATGCTGGTGGTGGGGGAGAGAGGGTGCTCTGGTGCGCCATTAGAGCACTCCAGAACAGGTAAGAGGATTTTTGATGTATGCTTTTTCCTCAGCCCGATTTATCAAATCTTCAGAGTAGATTTTTCCTTTTTAACAGCATTATATGTACCCAGAAGAGTAAATCAACTAGAAAAGACACACAATGGCATTAAAACACCTTTTCATTTGGTGAAATCTTTCTTTAACTTAACCCTCATCTTCACAGGTATGCAGACATCAACTTTGTGGTGTACACAGGGGACCAGGGTGTGACGGGCCAGCAGATTCTGGACGGAGCGCAGCGTCGCTTCAATATCGTGCTCCCGCGGCCGGTTCACTTCGTTTTCCTGAGGCACCGGCTGCTGGTGGAGCCCGGCCTGTTCCCTCACTTCACCCTGCTGGGACAGAGCGTGGGCTCCATTTTTCTCGGTTGGGAAGCGCTAACAGAGTACGTGCCGGACCTTTACATCGACTCCATGGGCTATGCCTTCACTCTGCCGTTGTTTCGTTACTTGGGAGGCTGCAGTGTGGGGAGCTATGTTCACTACCCGACCATCAGCACTGACATGCTGTCTGTAGTAAGAGAGAGGAACCCAAGGTAATAAGTGTGTCTTATTATTTTAAATATTATAAGCATTTCTTAAAATACTACAATCTATTTCCGAATCACAGATTTTCTTATACCAGTATATACATTTTATCAAAGAAGCATTAAGAATGACCTTTATTGCCCTCTACTGGTGATCAGAAGTAAATGCAGGACTGCACAGGCATTTCCTTCTCCATTTGAATCATATAGACAAAACAATTCTATTCTGTCAATGTCCTAGGTTCAACAACCCAGACTATGTCACCAACAATCTGTTCCTGAGTGCCTTCAAGGTGGTCTACTACTGCCTCTTCGCCCTGCTCTACGGCATGGCCGGCTCCTGCAGCGACCTCATCATGGTCAACTCCTCCTGGACCCTCGACCACATCCTTTCACTGTGGCGTGCGCCCAACCGCACCCACGTGGTCTACCCGCCCTGTGACGTCAGTGCCTTCCTGGACATCCCGCTGGAGGAGGACGGGGACAAGAAGCACCACTCGATCGTTTCCGTCGCACAGTTCCGGCCTGAGAAGGATCACCGGCTGCAGATCAAGGCCTTCAAGAAGGTGCTGGATGGGAGGAGGGACGGCGCGGGGGGCAGGGAGGCCCTGAAGCTGGTTCTGATTGGTGGGTGCAGGAACCAGGAGGATGAGGATAGGGTGCTCATGTTGAGGGGGCTGTGCCAGGAGCTGGGTGTAGGCGACAAGGTGGAGTTTAAACTGAATGTGCCCTTCGAGGAGCTGAAGAGCGAGATGGGGGAAGCCACCATTGGACTGCACACCATGTGGAACGAACACTTTGGAATAGGTACTTTATCCAACTGATCATATTTGTACACTTTCTTTCTTAAATTTTCTTGTTAAGAGTGAATCTACCTATTGTTTCCCCCCCTCCAGGCGTTGTCGAGTGTATGGCAGCAGGGAAGGTCATTCTCGCCCACAAGTCAGGTGGCCCCAAGCTCGACATTGTAATACCTTTTGAGGGGGGCCAGACGGGCTTCCTGGCAGACAACGAGGACAGCTACGCAGAGGCGATAGAGAGGATCCTGGCCATGCCCCCCGCCAGCCGGCTGGAGCTCAGACGCAACGCCCGCCAGTCGGTGGCTCGCTTCTCAGATCAGGAGTTTGACGCCTGCTTCCTCGCTGCTATGGAGCCTCTGATGGGAACGCTGGAACGATGAGGAGAGAGGACTCGCTCTTTGTTGTGCGTTGACTGCACTTTGGGCGGCGTTTACACCGAAGGACTTTTGTTTGAGATGAATCCAAATCATCCAGCTACAATGCAGCCTGTAGTTCTGTCAGAGTTGTGGTTGTAAATAGAAGCATATTCTGTGAAAGACAGTTATACCTCTTGTTTTACAGGATTCATTCCTTTGTTAGGTTTCTTAAAAAGTGATTTCAAAGAGAGTATAATATTTAATATGTTAAATAAATGGGGAAAAAATGAGTTGTGTAGACATTCAAATTGTGTTATTAGAATCTCTACCACAATGTCAAGTATTTTTGATATCGATGATTGAATTAAAGATGATGGGAGTAAACGGTCCTTGCAATCTATTGCTGTGCTGGTGAACAAACTGTAATCTGGATTAGCGGATGGGAAGTTGACGGCCAAGAACATTCAGAGTGAGTTGATTACAAACTGCGAACTCATTAAAATATAGTTTTCCTGAAGATGCAAAATTTATTGATTTAACTGAGTCGATCAATATAAATCTAATATTGAAGCCTGTTTCTGTTGCGTTGTTGTGTACACGTGACATCCAGTGCACGGCTGTCCGTCCTGGGAGAGGGATCCCTCCTCTGTGGCTCTCCCTGAGGTTTCTTCCACCTTCTCTTCCCTGTTAAAAGGGTTTTTTGTGGGCAAGTTTTTCCTCACTCGAACCGAGGGTCTAAGGACAGAGGGTGTCACTACCTGTACAGATTGTAAAGCCCTCTGAGGCAAAATGTGAATTTGGGCTATACAAATAAAATTTGATTTGTTTTGATTTGATTTGAAGTGCTGTTCTTTTGGTTGTATAGTTAAACACTGAATCTGTGTCATCCCGATGTGGTTATTAGAAACGGAACATCCTGCCTCCTTTCATCAGATCGTCATTTAAAGACGCAAAATCCTGAAAGCTGTCGCAGCTCTGGGAAAAAATAAGTTCAGAGCCTTCAACGTCAAAATAGGACAAGTTTATCCATCATGATCTGAGTCCTTTGATATGTGTCGTTACTGTCGTTACTGTGGGATCAATAGTGCTGAGCAAAGGTTAAGGGGGACACAGAGGGAGATGAACATTGGAGGGAGGTTTTTTTTTTTTTTTTTAGGGGTTATGGAAGGTAAGAGGCGGAGCCTATCTATTTAAAGGGAAGTCAACGAAGCACCGAGGTTAACTTTGATTTGGTGCTTATCGAGATGAGGTCACTCGTGCTTCTCGTGGCCCTGCTGCAGTCTCTGGGGGCCTCAGGTGAGTGGCGTCCAGGATATATAGCAACTATGGCCATTGTTTTGTCTTTCTTTTTTTCATTACATTTTTAAATCCTGCAGGCGTGCCGCTGTCCAACTCCGAGCTGGCGTCGATGTCAAACAGAGGCCTCGGAGCAGCTTTGGCAGAGGTCAACTCCTTGTATGCTGTCAGCCATCTTTACCGGGTGACCCAAGGCTCTGTCACAAGGGTGAGTGTGCACCTTTAACATATTTTGACCTGCAAATTTCTTTTAATTATAATTCTTATCTTATAATTATTTTTTCTAGTTGTAAACGATGCGATGGATGGTTTTTAAACTGGGTAGGTGTGTGGGATTTGTGGCATCATGACAAATATCACCTGTACGACAGGTTGTTCCCGTGGGCCTGAACACCGTTGACCTCCAGATGGTGTTTGGCATTAGAGAGACCACGTGTGCGAAGGCGTCCACGAGTGACCCGCAGACGTGTGCCTTCCGACCGGGATTCTTTGTGGTGAGATTTTTATTATCAAATAAAATATTATGGTTTATTTAATGTGAGAAAAAATAGCTCTCAACCATACCTGAAATTAAGAGAAACTAATGGGTTAAAATATTGGGGTTCCTGATATGTAGATTCTGGGTAGGACTCCTGTTGACAGACTGATGCGGCCCATTGTTTACATTGGCATGAATGCACTTGGACAGAATTTGCAGATCGAATACATTCTGCTGTGATGCAGTTGGGGCAGTGATGACAGTTTTCCTTCAACTTTCAGGCTTCGTCCACCTGCTCCAGTCGGGTGAGGGTGTTCCCCACCTCGGCCCAGGTGGTGTCTCTGAATTGTGGCCACGACAGCAGCTCCAGCAGCTCCAGCTCAGAGTCCAGAGAGAAGGTGAAGACACATTCCCGAGGGAGGGAGAGGAGATTTTTCTGTTTTTTATTTTCAAACCAGACTTCATAAATAGACCCTTTAATAACTAGATCGATTTTCTCGGCTTTGACTCCACAGATGTCCTCAAGAGGGAGACACAAGTTCAACATCCCATTTGCAAACAGAGGTGGGTTTTAACAAGTGATGGTGCAGTACAGTAAGTTATTGTTTTAACTAGTGATGGAACAGTGCAGTCAGCTTGTCAGTCCACATTCACCCGTGTGATATTCAGGTAAAGTTAACTGACCAGAGAACCAAATGTCTTTGAACCAGTCCCGGCTCCTTTTGCACCTCCTTCTCCTCCTCCTGTCCAGCCGGGTCGGTCCCTATACAGCCCAACGGTGGAAGTGCAGCCCGAACGAGGAGACACTTTCAGCAACTTCCTGGTGTGAAGGGCCAGCTCTGCTCTGGGAATCATTTCGGGGCTGATTGGAAAACAAAATCGAATTAAAGATAGATTTTGATCCTAATGGTTTGTGTGTTCTTTTTCACTTGGATTTATAAGCGAAGTGGCAGATCAATAAACATCTCAATAGTTTATCTTTTCTATATGGCCGTAAATTATTGTTAGAAAATGGTGTAAAACAGGATAAAACCACTAGAGGGAGTGTAAGATCCATAAATACTGTTCCCATTTAAACCGTTTGTACTGAAACCGATGATCAGTGTTCCAATAAATGTTTTGAAGAAATGACTCTGACGCAGGTTGAGGTCTGATTTGAACATTTATATTGTGATTTTTCAGTTTATATGCAAGAGGACACGTTTAACTCTTATCTGCAACCATTTGTCTTCACTTCCTTTGGCCCCCACATGTTTACATCAGCACATCAATAACTTACATACTGTACTGTAGCAAACAATCCTGTCAAGGACGATGACACTCATAAAGAAATGATACGCTGCCTTCAAGCGGCTTTCACACGACGGTGGCTGAGCGGGGACAAAAGAACATGTTAAATTAAAGTCGGATACAGAATCTCTCTTCTGAGCGTTTTTCATGTCGAACCGATTCCACGCTGCAGCCAATTTAAAACCAGTTTAAATGGTGTGAAATATTAATGATATGTCATCCTGGCACATGAGGACATGTCGATAAACATAGCACCCTTTAGAAATGAAGGCTAGAGATGAAAACCCTTCATGAGCCACTCTGCACATGAAAATAAAATCAGAGATGACCTTAGTGCCTGTGCAATAAGGGCTGAAGCAGTAATGGCACAATGAGGAAACCAGACACAAGCAACATTCAGTCTAATGCAACTCAGATGATGTCTGTTGCCGACCTCACGATTTGAACGCTCTGTACATCAACCAGACAAATGCATCTGGCGTGATGCGAGATGTGTTTACTTCACATGGCTGAATCCGATCTGTACTTCCTGGATGTGATTTTTTTTTCCTGGAGCAGCCGCAACTGTACACAAACTGAAGGATGAATTCCACAGAGAACTCACACAGAATACACCACCACAGGCCTCTTCCTCCCCATTTACACAAGTCCAGTATAATTTTGCATTAAATTAAAAGTTTTTCTTCTCCAGTTGCAGAGTCCAGACTCGGCTGAGCCTTTGGAAGAAATCTCCCTTCTGCTTTGACCTGTGTGCAAGACTTTTGGTATAAGGCTTCCTTCTGATTTTACATTTTGAAGATTTCTAAGTTTTAGTTGTTCATAATTCTTAACATTTTTAAATATGCCTTCCATGTACATTCCATAGCGCCCTAATTGTTTTCGTCCTCTCTAGACTTTGTTGACCAGCTGTTAAAAGACAGACTTGTAAAAAAAAAAAAAAAAATCCTTCCATTTATCAATCATTAAATAATTTCATATAAAAGCAAACCACTTCACAAAGGCCTTCCCTAATGCTTCACTGTTTCACCACCACACATGCATGCACACAATGCATGTGTGCATTTTCAGTCTCTCTCTCTCTCTCTCTTTCTCTCACACATGCACACACACTGGAACAGCTTCATGTTTTACAGCTTCTTGTTACATGAGGTCCATGCAGTACCAAAGCAGAATGATCCTGATGGGTTTTTTGTTTCCTTTTTTGTCTCCAGTACGTGGCACAAACTTATGGCAAAGACACGGACACATGGTTCGGCTCAGACCTGGATCCAGTAACATTTGCACAAATCTTATGAGTGTTTGTTTTAAATCTGCTTGGCGCACCAGAAGTGGATTTACAACACAGGACAATACAGTGTGTTCCAGAGAGTTTAGACAATCTCAGAAAATGACTTTTCTGTGACTTCAGTCTCACCTGCTCCAGACTTAATTGTCCCGATATTGTAAACCTAACTGTTCCGGAGCGCCAAGCATGTTAAAGAAAACGCAATAATTAGCAAACACTAACTGACCATGGTCTGGTTTGGGTTTTCATATATACACAGTCATCTATTTATCATTGTGGTCCCAAGGGGACAGAAGGTATCCAGGACTTTGCTCCCAGTTCACTTATGAATGTTCACTTCCATATATTCTTTCACTGTCTGTTCGTCCGTCTCCATACCGTCCTTATCTCGGAGTTCAGCACTCTCCAGTAAGTTTGGTGCCGTCCCCACGCTTAGGTGGTGCAGGTGGGGGTCCTCGCCGCAGCGTTGCATAGCCTGAGATGTTTCCGGACATGTAGCCACCGTTTCCTCCGTTGCTTTGCTTCCCTTGGTCCTGGAGCAGCTCGGGGGGTGGCGGAGGCAGCGCCATGTCGTCCATGGTCCCGGCAGGGTCCAACTTGCCAGAGAGGCCAGCAGAGTTGAGAGAAGCCTGCCGTCCCACCGACTTTCGCTTCAGTGTCCGGTTGAGATCCTCCAAGAAATTGGGCTGGCCTGAGCTGCCCTTCGGGGAGGTGGGGGGAGGCGGCGAAAGGGGAGGAGGCTCTGGGGTGGTGTTACTGCGCCGCCCAAGTGTGGGTGGAGGAGTCTTTTTCAGGGAACTCTTTCCCCATGTTGAGTTGCTGACAAGGGAGACGGGCGGTGGAGGAGGGGGAGCCTGAGGCTGAGGATTCACCACGGCTACCCTCGGAGGCCCTCCGCTATGGGTATCACCGGGAGGTGGTGGAGGGGGGAAGAGATCTGTTGCCGGGGGAGGAGGTGGGAAGTAGGCACACTCAGGTGGTGGGGAAGGGAAGTCGCCACTGGACTGCTTTGCCTGGCTCACTTTGGCCTGGAGGCCCATGGGCAAGTTAGCCAAGTTGAGCTTTCCTGGCTTCGGGGGAGCGGGGGGTCCAGCTGAGTGATCCTTAGAGGGAGATCCAGTAGAGGAGGAAGTAGGACAAGGGGATGAAGGTGAGCTGTTGCTCTTGGGGGCAAACTTACTGAGCAAGTTCCTCCTGGATTCCTCATACGAGGCTGAGGAATCAGACTTGACGCTGGAGTTCCTCTGGGGGGTAGGAGGTGGTTTCTTGCCTCCAAAGTTGGAGGAGATAGAGGGTGACCTCATGGAACAGTCTAGGTTTCCAGGGGGTAGGGGAGGAGGGGGTGGAGTCGGGCCGGTAACAGGTGCTGGGGGAGGTGGCGGAGGGGGAGCAGGCGGAGCAGGGGGAGCAGGGAAACCAGCGTTGCTATCTGGTGGAGGAGGAGGGAACTCGGGAGACTGAAGCTGCTGGACACCCCCTGGCTGCCATTTTGGTTTGGTCTTGACTGCAGGTGGTGAGAGGGGGGCTTTGGGACTCTCTGTGTGATTGACTACTTGGGAGGGGGCTCCTGGAAACTGACTAGCCAGCTGTTTCACTAAAGACATGGTGGGAGGGGCTCCTGTGGACATGGGTGGTTTAGAGAGGCTGTGCTGCTTGGGCAGAGTCGGAGGAGGGTGACTGGAGGTGTGCCCAGCATGGAGGCTGAACTGCTTCTTGAAGGGTCCGGATGACGGCGGGGGTGGAGGTGGTGGTGGGGTTGGGCCCCCTAAGGCGGCAGAGGGGGGTGCAGGAGGGAAAGGGGAGACAGGTGACACAGGCTTGGGGGCAGCATGAGGGATAAAACCTGGGGTGAAAGTTTTGGGTGGCGCTGGTGGGGGTGCAGGAGGGGGTGGAAACTGAGCTGGCCCTGGGAACTGCTGGGGAGGGGGAGGAGGTGGTGGTGGTGGTGGAGGAGGAGGAGGTGGCGGTGGTGGAGCGGGGGCAGGTGGTGGGGACTCATCAAGGTCTCCATTCGGAGACAAGAGGTCCCGTGGCGGGCTGGGGAACCTTTCCTTCAGCACCTGCTTCAGGCCGTTGGGGTAAACGGGCTGGCTCATGGGTGCAGGAGCAGGCGGGGGTGGAGGTGGCGGGGGAAATGCTACCCCGTTGGTGTGTGGAGCAGGAGGAGGAGCTGGGGGCGGAGGTATGAAGGCAGGTGGGGGGGCTGGGCTGGGAGGGCCCAGCTTCAGCACGGCCATTGCTGACCCGGGGGTGGGCATCGATGGTGGAGGGGGAGGTGGTGGTGGCGGAGGAGGCGGGACATTAGTCCTTGCTGCAATGTGATTCACATTGGGTTTGATGGACACCTGAGCAACAGGCGGTGTCGGAGCTGGGGGCAGAACCTGCTGAGCGTGGAGGTGACCGGGCAGCCTGTGGTGATTGGCTGTCTGCGAGGCCCTCTGGTTCTGCAGCCTGGTGATCGTGCTGTACTTGTACATGGTGAGAGCCGGCGAGTGGTGCGACACCATTTGAACCGGCGGTGGCGGAGGGGGAGGTGGCGGTGGAGGAGGCGGTGGCGGAGGAGCTGGCGGCTGCTGCTGCTGTGGTGGTGGTGGTGGTGGCATGTGGTGGTAGCTGCTAACGGCCTGTGGCTGTTGCTGCTGCTGTGGTGGTGGCATGTGTTGGTAGCCGCTGAC